CGGTTTCAATCCTATAAAGTGAGTAAATATTTTACAGTTCATTTCATCCTTGAATTTTCCTAATACCTTCTTGTTTGTTTTATCATAGTTTGGATGTTCTGCTGGATAATCACTAAAATCCATATATTCATTAATTTCTTTGAAGTCTTCATATAAGTCATCAGTCTCAACTTTTATTACATAACTATCAGTATCAGTATATATCAACTTAAGTTTATCATCATATTTTGGTTTCAAAACATCATAGTAAAACGAATACATGTGAATTTTAGAATAGTCTAAAATAGACATACCCATATAAATAGGTTTGTTTAGTTCCACTGTGTGTGTATCTTTTTCAACAATTACAAGGTCTTCATTTATGATATACCTGTGCTTGAATAGCGGTTTATTTACCAGTTTTTGGAAGCGTTCAGGCGTATTGACAATTTCAAAATCACCATGCTTTCTTACATTCTCCATGGTCTTGCCGTATACACTGTTATTCATTTGCTTAAACAAATCTTTTTCAAAATCATTTTTGGCATTCTTTCTCTTTTCAGTGTTGAATTCAATGGATTGGTTTAGGAAGTTTGCTTGTTTAAAACTTATTGCCCTATGGACTTTTCTAAGACTTAATCCATGCTGTAAATAAAACTTCAATGCTGATATATGTAAAACATACTTCTTTTTACCCATAACATTTAATACTAATTTATTTGCCTTTTCATCACTGGCATCTTTTCCATAGTAGTATTTGTGTATATCCTTTTGGACTTGTGAAAGCATATTCTCATTGATACACATGATTTCAGGTGCTAGTGGATAGTCTTTATGTAAATCATGTAGTTCTTTTGGATAATCTAAATCAACTTCCAATATGTATCCTATGTCATCATCATCAAAATATTTCATTACTCTCTTTTCATCCATTCTACCGTAATGCCATTTAAAATCATCATAGGGAAGTTTCTTACACATTGCTAATCCGTAAAGATTACTAGCATCCAAACAACTTGTGTACGATGAAGGTTTAGATTTGTCATAATCTTCATTCATGTATTTATTGTTTGCTTCTACTTTCTTGAAGGAGCACTGTGTCATTCCTCCTCTTAAGCCATTTTCAATCATTTCATACATTTCTTTTATGTGTATTTGTTGTAGTCTAACTCCTGTCAATGATAAAAAGGCATTCCAAGAATAGTTAGGTAAAGTGATATAATATGCTGGGTCTAAACCATAATAGTTTAAGCACATATCCCTAAAATTTTCAAAAACATCAGTCAGTAAATATACATCAGTCATCAAATACAAATCATGATATTCACCAAGGTTTTTAATGTTAAAATGTTTCCATACAATATTTGCTCTGGTGTAGTCTTTGTCAGTTATATATGTTTTCTTCGTATAATTGACTATAAAAGTCTTCTTTCTTTGGTAGCTTTATTTCATCAAATTTATCCCATGAGTTCATATAGTCATAGGGATATACACCCTTATCAGTCAGCAGTTTTAGATTTGATATACGGGTTGGTGCTTGTATATCTGAAACGAGTTTCCCAATCTTTAATCTTTTCATTTCCTTCATATTTGTTTAGTCTAACTAACTTATCTAATGAAGCAGTCAAGAAAGCAAAAATGTCTTTAAACTGACAAGCGCCAAATGAAAAGGTTATGAACTTTTCGCTGTTTTGTGCTATTACATCGATTCTTTTGTTTTAGTTTAGTTCTATGTTTAGTTCATTTGCTCTGGCAATGATTAAGTAGCAATTAGATGCTAATTTAAACTCTAATTTTTGTTCGTTTGTTAAGTCATCCATTGGTTTATTCATATTCATTTTTTCAAATATATCTTTCTTAATTTCAGTCAGTTTTTCTACAAACTGTTTCATACAATCCTCACCTCTGTATAAGTATGGTTGGCAAGTATTATCAATCCTGCTTACTACATTTAACATATAACCGCACGGTTTATGTTCTTGATATGTGCCTTTTATGCCAGTATTAGAGTTAGTGGTTAGACATTCAAAATCACCATAGATTACAAAAGGACAAGGCAATTTAGTATTATGCTTTTCAAATTCTATATAAGTGTCTTTATCAGGCATCTTTGTTTGTTGTCCGTCTGATGCCATACATCCCTTTTCAAGATGGTTCTTATATGCCTTTTCTGTTGAGAAAGGATTTAAACAATGATGGCAATAATGTTTTTTACTATCATCCTTGTTGCTTTGACAGTTTAATAATCTGCTTTTGTTCCTAACCAAGGCGTAGTGATAATTATTGTCTTCATCATAGACCTTTAACAAATCAATCTCATACTTAGCATTTCTATTTTTAGTGCCTCTATGTAATATGATTTTTTTTATCATTTAAGCAGTCATCAGGTTCAAAAACATTTATTGACACTAATTTATTGTTCTCTTCAAATCTGTCTATGTCCCTATTACCAGTCGGAAAATTTACGCCATCCCAGTTCAAAATATCATCTTTTAATTTATTGTAGTGAAACATTTCTTCTGGGTGATGTTTGCTTATTTTGTCAAAGACTACCGATTGAATACAATATCTAAAACATTTTTGGTCTTTGTTTTTAATGTTGATACATGCCCTTTTTAAATTAATCCATTCTGGTAGTTCTATGTATCTCCCTGCCCTTGTTGGGTCATATTTGTCATAATGAATGGTTATTGATAATACCTTTTTAAAGCGTAAATTAGAGGTTGATGCTTCTAAATTTTGTATTTGTAATAAGATTTGTTTAACACTATCTTCTAATGCTTGTGTCAGTTCATCTTCATTACTAATATTAAAGCGTGTTGAAGGTAAAGCATATACAAGTTCCTGACTGCCAATTTCATTTCCTCCATCATCATACTCAGGTTTTTCAAACAACCCTTCCGTTCTTATGTTAAGTTTCATGCTTCTATTCTTTTTTAGAAATTCTAATAGTCTTTGTTTTTGGTGCGCAATCATTTCTAAACCTCTTTCCCCTTCAAAGTGTTTATTTTCTAAAACGATTGAATTAGCATATCTTCTAAATGCTGATTGAATATCTCTGACCCTGAATTTGTTTCTTATTGCGTGTTTAGTCAGGATTTGTCTTACTCTCCCTTCATTGAAAGCACCCTTTGCCTTGTTTAAAGCATAACTTCTGTATTCATTAGTTTTCTTTACTGATAATAATTTCTTTGTTAACACATTTGATACGGGTTTGTCTTTGTTGTATCTGAATTTCTTATCATCTATTGTTATTTGCTTTAATTCTTTTCTTCCTCTCTTTGGTATTTCTGCTAAATCATTACTCAATAGATAGTCTATAACTTTTTTCATCATATAATATTATATATGTTATTTAGTCAATTTATCTTTAAGTAGTTTTTTTTTAAAGAATGCTTTTTTTAAATCTTTGAATATATGCTTAAAGAATAGTTATTTAAGTATATTAGTAGGATGGATTGTGTGAAGGATTTACCTGTTGATGTGTTGAGTAAAATTGCTTCTTATAAAATTGGAGGCCCTAAATATTTGAAAATTAAGTGTAATCATATTGAGGCATTAAAGAGAATACAAAACAAATATAAGATTTCAAGACTTGGTCCGAAAATAACAAGACATTTGAAATCAAGAAAAAAAGATATATATATATAATTGAATACTGTATTGTGAGAGAGGGAGTGCCATTTAGTTTGAAAAGTATAGAAGATATAATAACAGAAGAACAAGAAGAATTATTATCTTTAATTTATGAAGAAGTAGAAGATGATTTAAATTATAGAGTTAAACTCGATATTGAAGTTCAATTAGTGGCAAAACTCCCAGAAAAGGAATATGGAGAAAATGAATTTAGTTATAGAGAGATTTATTTTATGAATGACTTTTGATGAATATTTAGATGAAGATAATATAGATACAATATTAGAGAAAGCAGTTGAAGAAATACAGGAAGATATAGATGAAGACCGAGATAAAGATAGTATCATAGGAATACAAGCATTTCATTTTAAATTAATAATTATTGAAGACATTTACTACCAACATAATTCTAATAATACTATTTATTAGATTTATGGATTATTAAGATTATTAAAGGTGAGGAAATTGTCTTTATTATGGCTTGTTGTTTTGTTTTTTATGTTGGTGTTTTTTGTTTTTGTTTTGGGTATGGAATGGATGAGGTCATGATGTGATTTTCTATGCACGAAAAATATCAAAAAAATCTGAAAACAGATTTAAGAAAATGACTGTTTTAAGATATATGGATGATAAAACCTGTAAAACTTGTGAAAGAACTATGGACATTGATAATTTTGATGAAGGGTTAAAAACTTGTAAAATGTGCTTGTCAGATAAAAAAACCAGTTATCACAAACATAAACATAAACGAAATGAGGTTCAAAGAAAAAGATATGAAGAAGATGAAGAATATAGAAAAATGAAGCAGGACTATAATAACACATTGAAATCTAAAATTGTTAGTTGTTCTGTTTGTAATTGTTCAATGACCCAAGCAAATTACTATAAGCATAAGAAAACAGAGAAGCATCAAACAAACTTAAATAGTCAGTAGTTAGGTTTTAATAAAATGAATGAGGTAATTAGGTATTGACTTTTATGATTTATAGAAATGAAAGAGGTAATATATGGTTAGTAGTGATGATTTTGAAAATTTTGAAAAAATGAATGAGGTAATTATGCCTTGACTGTTTTTATTGTCATTATAGTTTTTTAATATTGTTGAAAAAATGAAGTAATCAACAATATTAAAAATCTGTGTTTAGACTGCTATAATTGAAATTAAAAAACTTCTATGAACTGTGGTTTTTTACATTTTTTTCACCCTGCGGCGGCACCCTGCAGCGGCACCAACATGCCCGCTCCAAAACGCACTTATCCAACTCATCCCTTGAAGTAAGAACCCCAACAATAGCTTCGCTATTTGGGAAACACGCGCCACTCGCGGAGGGCAGGACAGCATACCAAACCAGGGGCGAAAAACATCTCAGGGGTGCAGTTCTATCCTGATGTCATCTGTGGAGATGCCCATCGCTTCCATGAAGCTGGCAAGTTCACCACTGGAAATCGCGTCAGCCATCTCCTCGCGTGAGATCGCACATCCATCTTCATAGGCTCGGTTATTTAAAGCATCAAAATCGGAATTGTAGGAATTCAAACGCGCAGTGCGCAATCATCTTCGGCTGCGGTCATGTGTTGCGATTCTCTCAAGTTTCAAAAACGATAAATTCAAAAATTGGGATCCAGAAAGAACCTGCATTGTGTCTGATTTCTGATTCAGTTCATCGCCAGCATACAACCACACCTCAAGATTTTCTGGCTACTGTCCAGATACCGGGATCGGCCTCGAAGGTCACCAAATTTCTGTTCGCATTGTCAATCTCAGAAAAGACTTGCCGCAACGCCTCCACCTGCCCGAGCTTCTACTAATTCCATTATGAAGGCGGTACAGTCGCAGCAATTCTCGAGGATTCCAAAGTTCCAAGCCCGAAGAAGAGACTTATGATGCCTGTTCTTATGCGATGATGGCTCTTCCATTCTGACACACGTTCATCTATTGGATCTATCCCCCTGCTCCTGCGAGCCTGCTGATCTTTGGATCGAACCTGCTTGATCGTTGCCACCTCTTTGTCGGCATGCGCAGATTCGATCGCCGTATTGCAAAACACCTGATTTGACTGTTCAAAGCTTAGAGAAAGCAAACCAACACTTTTGAATAAATGTCAACTCAGCAGGCAAGGCACGCCAGTCACCACCTGGGCTGAAGGTTGTGAGATTTCAGCAAGAGGGGGCCCAGGATGACTAAAGAACAAGAAGGGATAATCACTAAACAAACAGGGCATGGCAATGTAAGTGTCTAGGCGACAACACCTGGAAAAGTCACAAGCTCAACCGGCAGAAACACAGACTTGTTCAAACAAAGAGGCATTTAGGATAGCAAAGACAGCCAGGGTCACATAGCACACGACCAAGGCCACCGCAATATAGGAGACGTTCCGGAGTGGCCGAAGAGCATCGTCCCAACTCAGACCATTGGTGATGGCCATGAACAGCGTCAACATACCTGACTGGACACCGACAGCCAAGCTGCCACTGAAGAACGGAGAGACCAAGTTACAACAACTTCGCCCACCGCATGGGGGCATCTTAGGCTAAATCCGCCTGCCAAGGCGTGGTAGTTTGGCAGCGAGTGATACGGACAGATCTGTCAGACTGGTACAGCTTCAGCTGGGGGGGGGGCATGTTCGCCCGAGCGCCGTCACCAAAAAGTGCATGGGACTTTGTGGTAATTTTCACCTTTTGCAGATCGGCCCAAAACGTCCAAATGCACCGGCCCGACTTGGGGTCAGCTTCGGCCAGCAAGGCACCAACTTCGGCCCAACTCACTTTGTTGGCGATGGTGTTGTGCCCCTTGATGACGTACACAACTTCGGCCCAACCCAGGCCCACTTGGCTCCAACTTCGGCCCAACTTGGCTCCAAGATGGCGCACCCATTTCAAAGCAACTTCCACCCAACTTTAAAGTTGATCCACTTCTGGCCCAAGAAGCCATGTTCCCCCTGTTGTGTCGCCGTTCACCCCACCTTGCACCCCACCTTGGTGTGAAGCTGTCGCCAAAGGGCCCCAAGTTGTGCCACTTTGGACGTGGGTGCCAACTTGGGCTCCAGCTCAGTCCAAGATAGCGCAAAGTTGTTGTGCCCTCGGGGCAGCCGGGCCCAAGTTGGGCCCAACCTGAACTAAATTTGAAGATTCAATGCGACACGCTGAAAACTTACAGTTTTGCAGTTTTACCGCTATTTCCAACTTTTCTTCGGCTTCGATGGGGGTTCGTGTGAAGCCATGTTGCCCACATTGCGCCTGGCGTGGGCCCAACTTCAGCGCCAGATGCACTAAGTTCCCTGTGCTAAGCCCAACTTGCGTCCAAACATGCCCAAATTGCGCCGTGTTGGACCCAGTTGGGCTCAAGCTGGGCCCAAGCTCGGCCAAGTTTGACCCGAGTCGGCTTTTGGTTGCGCCAAGTAGGCCAACTTCTTTCCTCTCTGTCCTATATTCCCGGGGTGAAGGAACAAGTCTGCCCTGGGAAAGATGGCGACGATGAGAAAGAAGATGACAAAGGTTCATAGCACTGATTCGCAAACCGGTGCCAACAATGCTGCTGATTTATGCTGATGCTTGTGGTTGCGGCCATGCATGGTGCGTTGCTGCTGCTCGTCGTATCAAATTAGTTTCACAGGGCTGATGCCCAGCGAGGTGGTTGTGGTATATCTGAGGGCATCTGCTGCCGTCGCCGTTCCTTCGGCCAGCTGATCTGTGCTGGCGGCTGGTTTTAAGCATCTAGCGGGTAGCGATTCGATTCGTGAATGAGTAGTGAATAGGATGATTGATGTGATTCATGGCTGAACAGCTATGACGATGGTGGCTGCTGATGCGGTCCCACAACTTGCAGATTTATACTGTTTGACTCTCGTTGGGCTTCTCAAGGCACATTCCCTGGGCGCGGGTGCTGGCTTCTGTCCAAAATCTGGTAATCCTCCTCATGAAGATTTGGGAAAATTCTTTCGAAGGTGTGATTTGTCGATCTTGCTTGATTAGATGATACCTGGCCTTCAATAAAACCACCATCGACCACGAAGTTGCAAGATGTGCCGCAGCACCCCGAGCTTAAATGCCCAAAGCAAGACTGGCCGTTTTCTGACAGCTCCTCAAAACAGCTGTCGCGCAACATTGAGATTGCTGTCCTTGCTGGCACTAATTGTTTGGCGGTTTTTCCCCAAACGGTGTGTCCACATTGAAGGCTTCATACACTGGGGGTTCAAGGCTGGGCTTCGGTGAGGGGCTGCAACAGCGTGAGTTTTCCATGGACAGTCTCGCGCAAGAGTTCCCTCCAAGGGTCTGATGTTCGGTTTCACTGCGCAGGGTCGCACTTTGAAACTTACGTCTATGGCTATAGTTTAAGCGGCGTGCATCGTCCATTTTTTTGAGCTATGCGCATTTTTCGCGGCAGGCGCTAAAGATAGTCAGGACCTCGTTTTATGTGGGGCGCAGGGCATCGGTGTGGCAGGCGACGGACTTCGCGCACACTACGCTTAAACCATAAAACTCTAGAACATTTGCTCAATTTGCTCGTACAACTCTGCTGTCACTTTGTGCGTGTCAGGTCGCTCTCATTGTGGCGCGCCGCATGCTCGTCCCTCTCACCACTTTGTGCGCATCGGGTCGCGCGCGTTGTGGCACAGTGCTCATGGCCATATTCCACATCCATCACGCTACCCTCTTGTCACTTTGCACGGCGCAGGGCACATTTTGCTTTCGCTAGGGCAACACCCCCGTCTCTTTGTGCATGCGCTCATTCTGATATTGCTCTTGCACCTCTCATCTTCTTGCGCGTGTTGGATCGCTCTCGTTGTGGTGCGGCATCGCTCGCACAACCCTGAGCACTTTGTGCGGGTCGGATCGCTCTTGTTGTGGTGCGGTGCTCATTCTAGTTAACTGACCCATCTCCAGGTATGGAGGTCCTTTAATGGATCCTGGCAAAAAGCGCCGCTGGATTCCTTTAAAGGACTCTTGCACAAGTTTTTTGTGAATTCCTTTTACATGTCTTTCGTGGAGATGGCATTGCAGAAAGTGGAGGGAATCTAGGCAGTGCTGGGCCATCAATTCAATCTGAAGCTTGCAGTCGGATGTGAGGCGTGGTGTTGGCTGGCGTTTTTTGAGCCAAGGTGCTGAACCTTTGCACATACAAACCGTTACAAACACCAACTCTTTGGATCCCGCGAGGTCCGTTGACAGAGCCTTTGTACAGAGATCTTGCGGATTCCTGGAAAGGGATCCTGTGAGTCCCAGTAAGGAACCCTGTAAGTTTCCCCAATCCTTCAATCCCGGGATGTTTCAGAAATCCTGTTTCCACCCTTAGGACCAGTGCGGTATCCCATTTCCGATTCAAACCCCATGACTCCTCTGCAATCGTTCGGGGGTTTCGGATTCGGAGCAATAAACTTTTGAACCAAGCCGCTTGAGCAAGCTACCACCCTGACCATGTTCAACAGTGCGAATCAAATCCTTCAAAGCATCCAACAAGGAAGGATGCTCATCGGTTTTGGGAGAAGCAAACACCTTACCTTTTCCCTTGCCCTTGCCTTTGCCTTGGCCGGGCCCCTTGCGAACAACCGTGAACTGCAGGAGACTGAGCTGGCTCCGGTTCAACAGCGGTCAAAAGGTCTTTGAGACCCTTCAACAGCTGGGTTTCCTGACGCTTGCGGTTGGTTGCCGCTGCTCCGCCAGCCCCAGCATGAAAGAAAGGTCCAATGGACTTTCGACAGTTTCCATTTGTTTGTGTTTTGGTGTCTGACGGAGCCAGGTTTGCTTTTTGGCACAAACCTCTCTGCCAGATTCACTTGGCGCTTTTTTTTGAAGAGCCAGGCCACGTGCAGTGGCCCATACAGCAACCCATCTGTTCTTTTTCTGTCCTCCATATTTTCGACAACGCACACCACGAGGGGATTTGACCCGTGTGCGCCCCACTTTTCTGCACAATGATAGCCCTTTTTGCTTAGGAGCTTTTTCCTTGGTTCCCAATAACACTCCCTTTTCAAGAAACCTTCGTCTCTTTTTCTTTTTCCTAGCTTTCCAGCACCCAAAGCGACCGGACCACAGCGCCAGAGTCAGACTGCAAAAATTGAAACACAAAGCATAATGGATAAACGCAGGAAATTGCGGCACAACCCAACCAACAAACCCGAGGATCCACCATTCAAAGACAAATTTCCCAACAATGTCAACTTCATAATCAAAGTAAGGAGTTGAATTAGCAGATGTTTTGCCAACATCCTCATAGAGCGGCCAAGTCCCAACCTGGCATCCAAAAGAAGCGACAACTTTGCAGAGCAGCTGCACATCCGCTGCCACGCTGCAATGTGCCGGCCGCTGCATCAGCACTGAGCCATCGCATCTAGGCTATGTTTAAGTGCAGAAAGGTCACTGGTGGTGCAAGTCCAAGGACGGCCAAGAACACCACCAACACAACAAAACAAAACAAGCAACCGCAACCAACAGGAAAACAAAACACCGTGAACAGCATGACCAACATTCCGCATTTCTTTTTTTGAAGTTTTCTTTTTTAGGCAGTTCGGCCTCATCATGCATTTTTTGGAACTTGTTCATCCTTTTTTCCGTCAACCCCTTGATGAATTTCACTTGGTTTTTGCTTTTGTCTTCTTCATGTTTTTCTGTTATTTCTTTTTTGGCCATCTTCTGGGGGCCTTCTGTCCCAAGATTGAAGGAATATCCCGTACTCTGACCAGAGCCAGGCAATTCCGTGATGGCTGGTGACGTTTTGAATCCGTTCCAATGTACCTGCCTCCACTGAGTTCTTTGCTCTTTTGTGCTCTCGGAACGTGGGGATGGACGGCTCCCATGTTTCATGCTAAAATAGCACGTGTATTTTCCAGCATGCCAGCTTAGGTTCCTGGGAAATAAGCCCGTTTATTTTTTTTTGAATTCAATGCTTCAAAGACCAAACTGTGAATTTGCTCTGCGCTTTGACCTGTTTTGAAGGTGAAGAACCACCTGCCCAATCTCTCTGCTTCTGGTTGGTGGCTGTCTGTGCCAAGAAGCATCCGAAGTGTTTCTTGCACAGCTGCAGGGACTGGTGGTGGACAATTGAGATCTGGTGAATTCCTCCAAAAAAACCTGCACAAAGATCTTTTGAGTTGCTTGAGGATTTGTGTACAGAGATCCTGCGAATTTTTTCAAGGGATCCTCGTAATGAGATCCTGCAAGCTCCCCTAGACAACATCCTTGTACGGAAGTCCTTGCACAGAGATCCTGTGAGTTCCTTTTCGGGATCTTTCTCATAAGTTCCCACAAACAAAATCTTTCTACACAGATCCTGAGGGTTCTTGGAAAATGCCCTTGTTCAGAGGAGTTGCAGTCAAGGATCCTTGTACAGAGACCTTGTTAGTTCCTGCCAAGTACCCTTACACACAGATCCCGTGAGTTCGCCTGACCCGCGCGTACAGGTTCCTGCTACAAAGCGTCTGTGAGTTCCTGTAAGCGATCAATGTACAAAGAACCCGTTCTTTCCTTTCACTGTTCGAATTCCTTTTCATGATCGCTGTACAGACCCTGAAAAAATTACTTGTACAGGGATCCTTTGAGGCTTGTATAGAGGTCCCGTGAGTTCCTTTCTCGAACGAAGATTTGCTCCCCAACTTGCTTCCCCCACACTGTTGGGGGTCCCTTGCCGGAGTAATTCAAACCACAAATTATTTGGCTGTGGTTGTCCGGTGATATTTTCCAGGCTTCTTATTAATTATAGATGTCCACGTGTGAATTCGCGAACCCTCATGTGCAAGTGCATGTGACCTCATTTGCAAATTTCCATCCACAACTCCACAAGCAGCGCCGCATATTGCCTGCACTAAGCCCGCCAGAAGCCTCAACACAGACTTGCTTGTGATTTCCCACAAAACATACGCGAAACACGCGTGCAACGCACATGCGTCACACCTACGACGCGAGTGCAACACGCGCAACACATGTACATCACATTTACAGCACGACGTGCAACATGAGCACTTTTATTGTGACTTGAAAGGTAGAACTGTGCTGCTTTGCAGTTTTGCGCGTGAGCTGCACATGCATTGCACGGGATTTCACATTGACAGAACAGCATGGCGTGCCCTGTGGGCCATACGTTGGAGCGACGCTTGTGGAGTTGAAGCAAACATGGCTGGTCAAACACCGTTTCCACGCATCTTTGAAATTGAGGGACAAGGGGTGTCCAGCCGTCCTTGCTGGCATTCAAATTCTTCGGTCGTTTTTGCACAACACTGTAGCAGTAGCAGTAGCAGCAGCCCACACATCGGCCAGTCAGTCACATCTCTAAGCCAGCTGCAAAAAGTCATCAAAATCTCCAAAAAGCCAAAACCGAAAACCTACTTCCCACACCATAGTTTCAGCAATGCAGGGGTATATCCAAATTTCTAACATGATGAAACAATGCGAAAACGGAAATTTCCTGCAAGTATTCCAATATTTGCATCGAGAAATCGAAGGACCGGATAACCCCACAAGTCAACTTCTTCCAATAAGCAGAAACAAAAGTTGAAGCGGGACGGGGAAGGAAGGAAAGACAAAGGAGGTGGTGGAGGATCGAGAAGTTAAAAAAGTTGTGTTTGAAGAGTTGTGTGTGTGTGTGATAAAGTTGTGTGTGAAAGATGTGTGTGAAAGATGTGTGTCACAAAATTATATGTGTGAAAGTGTGTGTGTGTGACCAAGTTGTGTGTGTGTGAAAGTTGTGTGTGTGTGACCAAGTTTCAAAGCCGACGCGCCCAAAGGCGAGCATGCAGTTTGGTGACAACTAGCCTCCCACTTGACGCAGCCTGAGCACATTGCACATTGCTTTGTACTCGCGCCAACCCGCACGGCCAACGAGGTGACAGTCTGTCGCCAGGTGACAATCTGTCGCGTCTGAGACTAACGTGGATGTCGCCAAGTGCCACGCTTGCCACGTGAATGAAACGAAGGTGGATGTCGCCAAGCGCCATGCCTGCCACTGCCACTGCCACGCAAAGTGCGTCACGGGCGACTAACGGCCACCAAGCGCGCCACCAGACCCAGCCCAGTGCCAGAAGTGCCACGCCTGCCACGCAAAGTGCCGGCGACCAGGGGCGCCCAAGCGGCCCACCAGAGCCAAGAAAATGTGACATAAGTGCCACGCCTGCCACGCAAAGAGAATGTAGATGTCACTAAGTGCCGCGCCTGCCATGCGAAACGAAGGCGGATGAGCGCGCCACCAGAGCCAGCCCCATAAGTGCCACGCCTGCCACCGAAAGAGAATGTAGATGTCACTAAGTGCCACGCCTGCCACGCGAAACGAAGGTGGATGTCACCAAGTGCCACGCCTGCCAGGCAAAGTGCCGCGGCGTCACCGGCGACCAGCGGCGCCCAAGTGCGCCACCAGAGCCAGCCCAGTGCCAAGAGTGCCACACCTGAAACGCAAAGAGAATGTAGATGTCACCAAATGCCACACATGCCACGCGAAACGAAAGGGATGTCGCCAAGTGCCACGCCTGCCACGCAAAAGTGCCGCGGCGTCACCGGCGACCAGCGGCGCCCAAGCGTGCCACCAGAGCCAGCCCAGTGCCATAAGTGCCACACCTGAAATGCAAAGAGAATGTAGATGTCACCAAATGCCACACATGCCACGCAAAACGAAAGGGATGTCGCCAAGTGCCACGCCTGCCACGCAAAAGTGCCGCGGCGTCACCGGCGACCAGCGGCGCCCAAGCGCGCCACCAGAGCCAGCCCAGGGCCATAAGTGCCACGCGTGCCACGCGAAACGAAGGTGGATGTCGCCAAGTGCCACGCCTGCCACAAGATGGTGTGTGACAAAGTTGTGAGTGAAAGATGGTCTGTGACAAAGTTGTGTGTGAGATGGTGTGTGACAAAGTTGTGTGTGTGTGTGACAAAGTGGTGTGTGACAAAGCTGTGTGTGACACAAATGGTGTGTGTGTGTGAAAGATGGTTACAAAGGTGTGTGTGTGTGTGAAGAATGGTGTGTGTGTGTGTGACAACGTTGTGTGTGAAAGATGGTGTGTGACAAAGTTGTGTGTGACAAAGTGGTGTGCGACAAAGTTGTGTGTGAAAGATAGTGTGACAAAGCTCTGTGTGTGTGATTGATGGTGTGTGATAAAGTTGTGTGTGAGAGATGGTGTGTGACAAAGTTGTGTTTGTGACAAAGTTGTGTGTGTGTGTGTGAACCATGGTTGGAGGTGGCGGAGCGGGAGGGGGGCGGAGGAGGGTGGATACAAAATCAAAAACAAGAACCCCGCACAAAGATGTGGGGAAAAAACAAAAACCAAATAAGACCAGCTGCTCTCTGGCACAGAGCCCCAGAACTTGTGAAGCAGCTCTGGGCATGCTGCATGCCGGCAGTGGTCCAATACCAGCTGGGTGATGACAACAGCAAACAAATAGAAAACTAAAACTAACAAGGCCAGAGTCCAGAACAGGGAGCTCATAGTGCTGATGATAGACAAAGCCAACGTTCTGAGCGCTGTGACGTAGCGAAAAAGTCGCACCACTCGAATGCCGCGAATGGCCCGCGCAATGCGGATAGATCGCATGAACCGCAAATGGCCTGTATCGAGGGAAGCAGACATCAAGGATGCTAAGGCGTCCACCACCAAGTCCACGACGGACAGAGACACGATCAAAGAATCAAATATATTCCAGCCACTCTCCACGCCGCACCAGAACTCACGACATCCAAGAACAAATATTCTCAGGATCATCTCCACCACAAAGATAAACACGATCAACGCGTTAACTGTGCCAAACCACGATGGAACTTCATCAAGATCAAGTGTTGCAGAGACATCCACTTCTACTCCAAGTAGGACCACATTCAACAAAATCAAAAATGTGATAGCAAGAGAAAACCATGGTGAAAATATGATCTCCTTGACACATGAGCGCCAGTTCCTCTTTCGGAATTGGGCATGGGCTGCTTGTGTGGTGCGTCTCAGCTGCTTCGCTTGGAGGTTTTGAGCCCTTAGCTGTGCCTGTGAAGCATATTCATTTTCAGATGGCGGAACCTGGTCAAACTTGGACCAGGACATTTGTGCACCTTTGGTTGCTTTCTGAGCAGGCCCTGTTTGGCCAAAGCCATCTGGGTCACGGTCTTCTTGGATAGGGTGAAGGCCTCCAACACTTCCGAGGCTGGCACGATCATGGCCATTGCTCGGAACATTGCCGATTCCAAGGAACATTGGGGAAACAGCCGTGGAATGTTCTGGTGCTGCGCGGCTGACGATTCGGTCCAAGAGTTCCCTATGCAGGGAAAACTGCACCTCTAGAAAGTCTCTCATCTCACCAAATTGACTTTGCAAGCTCTGAAGACCAGCCTGGAGGTCGCCTCGACAGGGAAGATTGTCCGCGCTGAAATCTAAGCTTGTCCTTCTTACGACTGCAAACATTGAGGTCAGCACATTCAAAACAATCAAGCAAGCCAAGTTGGTCCAAGTTGCTGTTTCGTCCTTTTGTCATCCCACCTTCCCACTCAAGTTCCTCCATTGCAGATGGCAGCGTGCCCCTTTAACCCCAATCCTATTTGTCCCTGATGACTCTTGACGCAAAGTACAAGACACACAGATCGCAACATGGCTAGCCAAACGGGACTGACCCCGCAAAACTTTCAGGACCAGTTGTTCCTTCCTGTTTGCACAGGTGCACTGCAGCCTTGGAATGCTGAATCAAAACATCGATTTGGCTCGGTCCCTTTTTCTGCGATCCAGATCATTGAAACAATCAACAAACAACGAAACACTATTGAAACACAAGGACACGCCAACTCCAAGCAGTTGGCAAAATGACGTGGAAGGGAACCTCTTAGAGGAATCCCAAATTCCCAAATCAACTCTATGGTTTGACGCCCATCTCCAACTCAGACCAAATCAAAAAGCCTCCCGTGCAGGCGCAGCTGATACGCGGCTTCTCATTAAAGAACGCTTCAGCGCCGCCATCTCCTGCGGTAGCACGTGGTGATACACTTGGTGGCAATCTCAACAGAAAACTTCTTTGATCGACAACTCGCTGTCAGAAGGAGGCCAGTCAAATACAGAAATTGTTTCAAGCAGTCATGCAAGCATGAACTTATTATGTGGAGTACAAATTTCATGTCCAACTCCCACTCCCACCTCCGTAAGCTGCTTGATAGCTCGCCGAGTCAACCTCAAAGGGTTATCAACGACGTGCGCATTATGGGCACCATCCCCACAAAGCACATCGCCCATGAGCACGCCGTAAACATGCACATCATGCACCGGCTACTTCTACACTCGGCCTCAAATATGAAATATCTCCAATACTGTAGACATTTCTTCAACTACACTCGACCTTACCTCCTAAGCAAAAAAATATGGTGACTATGGTTTGAAGGTTTCTGGGCCAAGAATCTTGTTCTCAAAACTCATCTTGGCCAGCTGCAAGCTCTTTGCTGGACCGTGTAATTGCATGCATCCAGAAACGAACTCTTCCAGATCAATCCTACCATTCTTGTCGGAATCCAGGAGCATGCAAAGCGTCCTGCAAGCGAAAGCCAAACAAATCGACATCGAGCACATGAGGTGTCAAATTCCCCAAACATTGTGGCCACACTGAGGGTCTTACGGTCAGAGAGGGTTATGGCCCGATGTTCCTTCAAGGTGGTATCATACGTGCGTGGGATTCTTGATGACCCTTACAGCACAAGAGTTCCCTCATCTTCCGTTTTCGAAGGAAGTCTCGCACGAAGTGGTGGCTGGGAGACCTCTCTTCGGAAGGGCTCGTTTTACTAGCGCGCAGTGCTCGTTTTTTGAGCTATGTCCATTTCGTGTGGCAGACCTGGCATTTTCGGGACATTTTGAAATCTGAAACGTCGTTTTGCATGACAGGTGCAAGACATTGGACACTTTCTCATCCGCGTGGCAGGCGTGGCACTATCTGCACGTTGCTAAAATATTGGCACGTGTTGATAATAAGCCCAAAGAATATCCCCAACAGCAAGAAGCAGCGGCCGTAGATCCCAAACAGTAATTCCATATAAGCGTGGTAGTTCCCCACCTGCCAGGTGAGGGTTGTTAGATTTTATGTCAGTTGCCTGCTCCTCTCCTCTCCTCTCCTCTCCTCTCCTCTCCTATCTCCTCTGCTTCCTCCTCCTCCTGCTCAACCGCGATCCACGCTCAGTGTGCCCTGCCGGACCTCAACCACGACCATCCACGCTCAGTGTGCCCTGCCGGACCTCAACCACGACCATCCACGCCCAGTGTTCCCTGCCGGACCTCAACCACGACCATCCCCGCCCAGTGTTCCCTGCCGGACCTCAACCACGGCCATCCACGCCCAGTGTTCCCTGCCGGACCTCAACCGCGAGTATCCACGCCAAGTGTTCCCTGCCGGACCTCATGTAGGAAGATATGGGACAAAGAATGTGCAGAAGAAAGTTAGAAAGAATGTCAGACAAGTATGTTATATATTACTTGCAAACTCGCGCGTGTGTGGTACAGTGACCGGGGCAATGCCACTTCTTACTTTGCGGGTGGCAAAGTTTGAAGCAATCAGTTTGAACAGATGACAGAGTCACTGGGGTGGACAGAGACATTTCCACTTCTGTACCTTTGGAGCTGTTTGCAAAGACGCTTGAGACAGGCAACATCTTACGGCAAGTTACTACAAATTACTTGAAGTGATCTCATGCTGGATTGATGCTTGAGACAGTCAACATCACACAGGGTTTCTGTTGTGTATCACAGCTATGGTGGCATGGTGGATATGTGACATCGGAACATTTGTTGGAGCTTGCGAGCTTTTGACTTTGGTTCAGGTGGTCCACTGGCTTGTTTCAGTCATGTTTTTACAAACATGTTTGACAGGCGGTGTGCTGACATGTTTGGGCATGTTTGTTTGTTTGGCTCAGGTGGTCCACTGGCCTGTTTGGTCATGTTTAAGCAAACCTGTTGAGAGCTCTGGAGTTTACTTCACATGGCCCACTGACATGTTTATATCCTGTTTGACAGACTGACATGCACAATGACCTGCCAGGTGAAACAAATGATTGGGATAGTTAGTTGGGCAAAAGTCCCGTGACAAAAGCTTCAGACAAAAGTGGTGTCAACAAGCTGTTTTGAAATGTCATGGTGGGGATCACTCGAAGCAAAGTAATTTTTGTTTCATGACCAAGCAATGCAGTGCATTTTTGCGCCGTCCTGCCCGCCGGCCTCCCCTACTACTACTACTCCTCCTCCTCCTCCTGCTACTACTACTACTACTCCTCCTACTCCTACTACTACTACTACTACTACTGCTACTACTACTACTGCTACTACTACTACTACTGCTACTGCTACTTTTACTACTACTACTACTACTACTACTACTACTACTACTACTACTACTACTACTGCTATTACTACTACTACTGCTACTGCTACTGCTACTGCTACTGCTACTACTACTACTACTGCTACTACTACTACTACTACCACCACTACTACTACTACTACTACCACTACTACTACCTACTACTACCTACTACTACCTACTACTACCTACTACTACCTACTACTACCTACTACTACCTACTACTACCTACTACTACCGACTACTACCGACTACTACCGACTACTACCTACTACTACCGACTACTACCTACTACTACCTACTACTACCTACTACTACCTACTACTACCTACTACTACCTACTACTACCTACTACTACCTACTACTACCTACTACTACTACTACCTACTACTACTACTACCCCTACTACTACTACTACCTACTACCTACTACTACCTACTACTACCTACTACTACCTACTACTACCTACTACTACCTACTACTACCTACTACTACCTACTACCTACTACTACCTACTACTACCTACTACTACCTACTACTACCTACTACTACCTACTAGTACCTACTACTACCTACTACTACGACCTACTACTACGACCTACTACTACGACCTACTACCTACGACCTACTACCTACGACCTACTACCTACTACCTACTACCTACGACCTACGACCTACTACCTACTACCTACTACCTACTACCTACTACCTACTACCTACTACCTACTACCTACTACCTACTACCTACTACCTACTACCTACTACCTACTACCCACTACCCACTACCCACTACCCACTACCCACTACCCACTACCCACTACCCACTACCCACTACCCACTACCCACTACCTACTACCTACTACCTACTACCCACTACCCACTACCTACTACCTACTACCTACTACCTACTACCTACTACCTACTACCTACTACCTACTACCTACTACCTACTACCTACTACCTACTACCTACTACATAGTACCTACTACCTACTACCTACTACCTACTACCTACTACCTACTACCTACTACCTACTACCTACTACCTACTACCTACTACCTACTACCTACTACCTACTACCTACTCCCTACTCCCTACTACCTACTACCTACTACCTACTACCTACTACCTACTACCTACTACCTACTACCTACTACCTACTACCTACTACCTACTACCTACTACCTACTACCTACTACCTACTACCTACTACTACTACTACTACTACCACCGCCTACTACTACTACTACTAGTACTACTACTACTACTACTACTACCACCACCTACTACTACTACTACCACCACCTACTACTACTACCACTACTACTACTACTACTACTACTAACAACTACTACTACTACTACTACTACTACTACCACTACTTCTTCTACTACTACTACTTCTACTACGACTACTAACAACTACTAACAACTACTAACAACAACAACTACTACTACTACTACTATTACTACTACTCTACTACTCTACTACTACTACTACTACTACTACTACTAGTACTAGTACTAGTACTAGTACTAGTACTAGTACTAGTACTAGTACTAGTACTACTACTACTACTACTACTACTACTGCTACTGCTACTGCTACTGCTACTGCTACTGCTACTGCTACTGCTACTGCTACTGCTACTGCTACTGCTACTGCTACTGCTACTACTACTACTACTACTACTACCACTACGAATTATTAATAGAGCGCGGGTTCCGCCCGTCTGCGTTTCGCGCGGTTTCCGCGCGTTACGCGCGTTGTGTTTTGCGCGGGTTCCGCGCGTGTTGTTTTGCGCGGGTCCGCGCGTGTAGCCGCAGTTAAATTTCTACTGAGTATTACTACTACTTGTAATTTTATCAATACTACGATTAATATCATGTCTACGATACATCTACGATATTTTTACTACTATTACCACTACTACTACTACTACTACTACTACTACTACTACTACTACTACTACTACTACTACTAGGGACGGGGGTCACATTCGCCCCTGGGTTAAACCTGGGGACAAGGGGACATTTAGGGGGACTGGGGAACCTTTAGGGGGGACTTGAGGGCATATGGTAACTTGCCTCTCTATTCAATATGTTACTCAACCCTTTAGGGTTAAACCTGGGGACAAGGGGACATTTAGGGGGACTGGGGAACCTTTAGGGGGGACTTGGGGGCATATGGTAACTTGCCTCTCTATTCAATATGTTACTCAACCCTTTAGGGTTAAACCTGGGGACAAGGGGGCATTTAGGGGGACTGGGGAACCTTTAGGGGGGACTTGGGGGCATATGGTAACTTGCCTCTCTATTCAATACGTTACTCAACCCTTTAGGGTTTACCCTGGGGACAAGGGGGCATTTAGGGGGACTGGGGGACCTTTAGGGGCATCCAAACCGTCTTCGAAGGTGCTCGAAATGGATCTTACAACCTAGCATCCATAGTGTCCTGGAAGTTGATTGAAATGGCTCTTGGAAGGTAACATCCAAAGCGTCTTCGAAGTTGCTCGAAATGGATGTTACAACGTAGCAATGGTAAACCGTAGCATCCATAGTGTCCTGGAAGTTGATTCAAATGGCTGTTGGAACATAGCATCCGAGGCGTCTTCCAAGTTGCTCGAAATGGATGTTACAACGTAGCATCCATAGCGTGCTGCTAGTTGATTGAAATGGCTGTTGGAACGTAGCATCCAAAGTGTCTTCCAAGTTGCTCGAAATGGGTGTTACAACGTAGCATCCATAGCGTGCTGGAAGTTGATTGAAATGGCTGTTGGAACGTAGCATCCAAAGCATCTTCGAAGTTGCTCGAAATGGATGTTACAACGTAGCAATGGTACACCATAGCATCCATAGTGTCCTGGAAGTTGATTGAAATGGCTGTTGGAACGTCGCATAGCACGTGAATATGACTCTCTAGGGTGGAAAAAATCCTTTTGAGGCTCTGAAACTATTGCGCCTGCCACGCAAAAGCAGGGGTCACATTCGCCCCTGAACGAGGGTCACATTCGCCCCTGAACCCACTTCATCGCACTTCATTCAGGGGCAAGTGCGACCCAACATGGTTCAGTGGCAAATGCGACCCCCGTGCCAACTACTACTACTACTACTCCTCCTCCTCCTCCTGCTGCTACTACTACTACTACTACTTCTACTACTACTACTACTACTACTGCTATTACTACT